TGCGATAGAATAGGTTGTGACAGGTTGTCTTTGAGACTCCAGTGCAGCTATTGGAATACAAATTGGTAGTTGTGGAAATAATCAGGCGGCTTTACAGTCACCTGAATCACTTCCACGTGAAAGATGACAGTCAGCTTGACAAGGGTGTGTTTTAAAAGTCTTTGATATCAGTTCTGTTTACGCCAATTCCAAAAAGGTTGGGACGCTGTACATTGACTGTTACCTTATTTCCCTATTTTTCTTTTTTTCTAAATGGTACATTTTTCTCAGTTTAAACATTTGATATGTTTCTGTTGTGAATAAAATATGGGTTTATGAGATTTGCAAATCATTGCATGCTGTTTTTATGTAGATTTTACACAGCGTCCCACCTTTTTTGGGATTGGGACTGTGTGACTGGTGCTGGGACTCGAGAGGGTTAAAATATATTGAAAGCATAAAACTTCTTTTTTTGACAGTGACAAAGCGTTAAACCCCTGCTAGACTCAAATTATTATTGCCATTCTTTAAAATTATCTCTTCCCTCCTGAGGATTTACCCGCCTTCCTGACCAAGCAATTTTTTTGTGTTACGGCGCTGCGTTACTGCAACTGACAATTGCGCAGTCATGCAACGCTGCACCCAAATAAAATTTTACATCCTTTTTTTTTTTTCCCCCCACAAATTGAGCTTTCTTTCAATGGTATTTGATCACCTCAGCGTTTTTTCTATTTTTTGCACTATAAACAAAAAAAGACCAACAATTTTGAGACAAAAACAATATTTTTGACTTTTTGCTATTAAACATGTCCAGTAAAAAATTTAAAGAATAAAATTTCATCAAATTTAGGCCAAAATGTATTCTGCTCCATGTCTTTGCTTTAAAAAAAATCCCAATACGTGTAAATTAATTGGTTTACGTGAAAGTTATAGCGTTTACAAATGGCGGTATATATACTGGAATTAAAAAAAAAAAAAAAAAAAAAGTTTTAGTTTTTTTTACTGGTAATGATGGCTATCAGCAACTTTATAGCAGGACTGGGGTGGGCATTCTGACACTGAGGGGAACTGACTTGGTGTCAAGGACATCCCCAATGACACCAGTACAGTGATCATTGCTAATAAAAGGCACTGACACTATACTTATGGTACTGGGCAGGAAGGGATTAACATCTGGGGTGATCAAAGGGTTAACTGTGTGCTGTTTCACAGTATGCTGTTTCTGTGCTTTCCACTGTAAGCACAATGCTTTGTATGGCAATGCTATGCAGAGCTGTACAAAGCAGTATGCAGGAGCTAACAGGGGAGAGATCTGTGTTTATACATAGGTCTCTTCCCCGTCGGAGATTCTCTGTGATCACTGGATGCCGGCGAGTAAACACTGGTTGGGACCCGGTGATTGACAGCCGAGGTCCCGAATGGCGGTGAGTGTAGGGCTCACGCAAGCTCTCTACCTGGAGATGCAAAATCATATGTATATATACGTGATTTTGCGCACTCCTGCCGCCCTGTAGCAGTATTTCTGCTATAGGGCGGAGGGGAAGCAGTTAACTTTCTCATAATGTAGTCTGCCCAGGGGTCAGTGTGTAACCATTTTCTATCAGTCCAAAACTAAGAAGACTCCTGGCCTTAGATATACTTAGTTTTTCATTTATGCACTAGAAAAAATCCACAAACAATAGTAAGTGCATTCAGAAAAAGGCTTGTATTTATCCTAATGCCTGCATGAAAAATTGATCTAGTTCAGGTTGCTTACTTTGCGAATTAATGGCTCATTCAGTAGGCAGATTGGTGCCTCCATGCAGAGCTGCTGGCAGATGTGTTTGCATCCACCTTGGATCTGCATATGGCCAGCCCATAGAAGTGGAGGCAAATGCAGAGCTGACACGGACACAATTGCACACATCTGACCACAGAGCTTCTCTGTTGGAAAATATGCACCCGCTCCTACCCGCATGTCTTCTTTGACATGCGGTTTTGTCCATTCCTGCGCTGTGTGTGCGCATCTAATTTAATAGGTTGCCTGCACATAGCTCCGAGGCACACATCTACTACCAGCTCTGCAGAGAACAGCATGAATCTGTTTGTCTGAATGAGCCTTAGCCTTGGTTCACACTTGTGTGGTGCGGCTTATCACATGTGATTCGCACAGGAACCGCACCACATTCCTGTGCAAATCACATGTGAATTCTGTGTGGTACATTTTGTATGGCTCAAATCGCACTGCATCCGCACCAAAAAGGTGCAGGGCCCTTTTTTTGGTCTGCAATAGAATCGGTTCACATGGGTATTCACATCCATGCGATCCAATTCTGCACATCGCACCACGTTTTGCGGACCGATTTCGGGGTGTTGTTAACATACAGACCTGCAGTGTTTCGCATGAACGGGGTGCGATTGTGTTGCGGTGCGGAATTTGCACAGAAAACTGCTGCGAATTCCACACTGCATCAGTGTGAACCCAGGCTTAAGGATGAATATGGCTCTCCTTTTTCCACTTCATTTTTTTTTTTTTTTTTTCCCCTAAAGATCACCCCCTGCATCTAGGTATGTGATTTAGGCTTAGTATGGAGTTTGTAGCAAAGGACCTTGGAATGAATACATTAAAGGCTGATGTATATCCAAAAACCGTGAATGTCGTTATTCCCTGGTGTTGTATCTCATCTAGTCCAATGTTTGAATAATCTTCAGTTATGAAGGAATGCTACTGGTCTAGTCACAACTCTGAGTTGGTGAATGTTGTCTTTGTGAAAGTCAATCGGGGTAGCTGAAGCTGAGCACAAAACACAGAGTTGCTGTTGCAGAGCTCCCATAGCTTTAACCTGAGTGTATATAAGGAAGTCGGCAGCCAAACTTGCTCAATAGTGGCTTTCTTGTGTCCAAACCTCAAGTATACAAACTTTCTGATGTTGCCTTTCTCTGTTGAATGAGTGCATGGAATATAAGAATACTTTTAAGAAATAACATACAAACTGCTTAAATATTTAGCAAATCAAATGAGGTGTTTTTATATGTGGCACATATTTCTGAGGTTTTCATTAACTGGAGCATAATTAATATTTTAGAGATCTTTGCTTTTATTGATTTTTAACAATGTATATTCCTCCATGGTAGTACAAGGTAAAAAAATGGACTCCAAGCAGCTTTGCATTTAATGATGCATCAAATTTTCTTTCTAATTCCAAGCAATGTGAATACCAAAGTTTGACTTGATGTGATCCTCTTGCAAACCAAGAGGGGAAGCAGAGTGATCAGCCGAGAGAGAGATGAGTTTATTAATCTGGTGCTTCTCCTTTCACTGTCTAATCAAGGCTAGGAGAGGGACAAGACTTGCAAGTGTTACTGAAAGGATAAGTTCGCTTTTACCAAGAAAAATAATGCACATATATTTTTGCAGGTAAAAAATATGCATTTATTTTTTTTTTTTTTGTTCGGGACCTGTAAAGCACGATCAGCAGATTGTGGGTGTAATGCTATGGTCCTGCAGACTGTCTGTGTATCTGTCTGCCTGTACCTCTGATGCAGGCAGTTACACAATGACGGGAAGCTCAGAGAACTACACAATGACGGGAAGCTCAGAGAACTACACAATGACGGGAAGCTCAGAGTGCTCAACAGAGCTCTGGTAGTTGAGAACTACAAGCCAACAGCAGCAAAGGCTGTCGGGACTTGTATTGTTTCTATTCACAAAAACACTGCATTTTTTTTTAAAAATTTGTGACCACTAACGGGGGACGAAGATCCCCCCCGCTAGTGGTCAAAATGGGGACTCGCTGGGGTTGGGGGATGGAGGCGACAGTGCATTTGTAACATGTTACATGGCTACATGATACACCCTGAATATGGGTGTAACATGTTACAAAAGGTGAACGTATCCTTTTTTTAAAGAGGATGTTCAATGCCCCCCCCCAAATAAAAAATTAAAAGTCAATGGCTACAAATACTGTAGCTGCTGACTTTAAATATAAGGACACTTATCTGTCCAGGGATCCAGCGCTGTCCTCACCCAAGCCGTTTCTTTACCGGTTGAAATAAAAGGACGTCCAAAAGTGTTAAGGGGTTGGGCAGAGAAGTGGAACTTCCCATTTTGGGTGAAGTTTCGCTTTAAAGAGTAAGCACACACTTGTTGACAAAAAAACGGTCATGTTATCATGTTTCCAGGAATGTCGCACCTCTGTTTTAGGGGTTGTGGCCTTGCTGGTACCCTGGTGCATATGTTTTGGGCTTGCCCTGGTCTTTCTTTGATCTGGCGTAGAGTTTCTGAGGTGGCCTCGGCCTTGGCGGATACTCCGGTAAATTTTGTTGTTGCAAAATTGTTTATTGGGATCTCCCATTTCGGGGATCCCAACCAACGTAATGAAGCTAATTCATGCTATCTGTGTCTCTACCCTATGGGCCATTGCTCTTCATTGCAAGTCACCAGCAGTGCTTTTGTCCTCTGTTTTGCGGAGAGTTTGTAAGGTTATGCTCATGGAACGTATTCACTATACAATGCTAGATAGTATTCAATTATTCCACATAAAATGGGATGGTTGGAAAACATTTTGGCATTTGTTAGCATGATGAGTTATCATAGATTTTTTGGCATTGTATCTTTCTTGGTTGTGTAGTTGCTCAGTATATTTTACTGCCTACTTCATTCATGTACTCAGACTTTCTTTTTCTATGATTCTGTTTTATAAGACAGGTTTTTTTTTTAATTTTGTGCCTTTTTCTTGATGTATGCTATGCTTCATGTAATGGTACTGTTTTTGTTTTCCATCTCCTAATAAAAATGTTTGTAAACAAAAAAAAAAACAACTCCCTTGTATATACTTCATCTGTGTGTTTAGAGTTTTTGCCTGGAGTTCAGCTTTAAATAATTTAGACCGCTCTTACTGTTCCATTTAAACATATAGGACAAATGTACATAGTTTTACAAATCTGCATACTGTAATATATACTAGACCAAGTTACATAGAATATTTTACGAATGATTTTAACATTGCACTGACGACTCTGTTCATCTTCTTCCATTACAGGTAGATCCGAAGGACTACATGTTTAGTGGCTTAAAGGACCAGACAATAGGACGGTTGCCAGATAAAGTCGCAGGCCAACAATTTGTAATACAGGAATGTGAGAACTGCAACATCTATATATTTGATCATTCCGCAACCATCACTATTGATGACTGTACAAACTGCCGCATCTTCTTAGGACCTGTAAAGGGCAGCGTGTTCTTTCGTGACTGTAAAGATTGCAAATGTGTTGTGGCCTGCCAACAGTTCCGCACTAGAGACTGCAGGAAAATGGATATATTTTTATGCTGCACCACACAGCCAATCATAGAGTCCTCCACTGGAATGAAGTTTGGATGTTTCCAGTTCTATTACCCAGAACTAGCAGCACAATTCAAGGATGCAGGGCTGAGCATCTTCAACAACACATGGAGCAACATCCATGACTTCACCCCTGTGTCGGGAGAGACAAACTGGAGTCTTCTTGCAAGTGACTGTGCAGTGCAAGATTATGTGCCCTTCCCAGACTCTGAGGAACTGAAAGCAATACGTGTTTCTACAGATGTTAACCGGAGCATAGTGCCAGTCACTTGGGGACAGCGTTTGAAAAAAAGTGATGAGTCGTGCTTGGTGGTTTTCTTTGCTGGAGATTACACCATAGCAAATGCCAGAAAGATGATTGATGAGGTAATAAGGAAGATTTCACTTGAAAAGCACCTGGAAATTCCTGGGTTGATACTCAAGTATCTAAGGGAAATGCCAACTAAATTGGGCAGCTTGGCTCTCTATGCAAACATTTTCTATAGTTTCTAGTTTTCATAGTAATCCAGGGGTGTGGAAATCTTTTAAAAAACTAGTCCAGGGACTAAATCGATGTTCCAATCTAGTTATCCCCCATGACAATCTACTTGTCCTGATAAAAAAAAAAAAGAAAAATCAATTTTAACCAAAACCGTATTGAAATCTGAGATGCTGTTAGGACTATCTGGGACTTTTAAAATCAAAATGGGCTTTATGGCGACTTAAATATTACATTTTTTTAACATTGCGCAGTTTTATCTCCCCTTGCCCTACCTGCCTGTCTCCAGCACCACACCCGGGAACTAGCAGGGAGGAGAGAGACCTTGCACTGATTGGGTGCTTGTCAGGAAAGGGGAGTGTCGGGCTTATCCTTTATCCCTTTTTTGTGCCAGAGCCATTTTTTTGCATTTTTTGCACACGTTTTAAAAAATCATTTTAGGCTTGAAGATTACACAAAACCCCCAAACATGATATATTTTCTGAAATCAGAGAACCTAGAGAATGAAATAGTGGTAGTTCTAATTTTTTATGTCTCGTGACATTACTGCAAAGGTCTAGGAAATGCAAACTTTCAGTAAAAAATACACAATTAATTTTAGGGCACAAAAAAGCAATAAATGACCCTATTTTTTTGTAAAGTATATAAAAGATGAGGTTCCATCGAGTAAATAGATATCCAACATGTCAAACCTTAAATTTGCGTGAGCTCGTGAAATGGCGACAAACCTCAGTATGCTTATATTTTTTTTTTATAGGCGACCATTTTAAAGACCCTTTATAGGTCATTTACTAAGAGGAGGGGGAAGTCTCTGCTGGAAACAGGAGAGGGGTAGCCGGCTTCTACCTGGTATTCAAATAGTCTCCACCCCCCACCCCCCCCCTTCTTTTTTTTTTTTTTTTTTTTTTTTTTTTTTTTTGACCTCCCTCACCCTCTCTCCCCCCTTTCTCTTTGCTGTGCCTTTTCTATTGCTCACTTTTGTACATGGACACATAGGATAACATAGAGAAGCATTCTGGGGCTTCAGAAAGGTAAGAGGGAGTAAAGTCTGCAGACGCCGTGAGAAGTAGATTATAAACTTTTTAGATAAGGCATGAGGCATAGAGCCTGCGGCAGAGCAGTAGTATTCCTCTAGCACCGTGAGCGTACACTGGAAGCCAGCAGGAGAGAGAAGCGAGCTCAAGAAATGTCGCAGTTGGAAGGCTTTCCAGAAATTCAGGTTGTAGGGGCCTGTCGAGTCACAGAGAAGTAGTAGAGAGGGCCTTGTTCCGTTTACTAGGAAGTGAGAGGCCTGAATCTGTCCCGAGCGGTATAGGGACATGAATGGACCATGAAGGAGGCTCGGTTCGAAATTGGTGTTTCCCAGTATGGGGTAGTGGAGGGGACATTCTGGTGACAGGGAGGTTGAGGCGAAAAGAGAGGAACATATATGAGACGTTGTACCTATCAATGGGTGCATCTTGAGGGTAGAAGGAGTGCCATTGCACCATGGAGACCTACTAAGAGAAACCCAAGTTTGAGCCTGCTTGATGTTTGGCCATAATTTAATATCACCGTGGTGGCAACAGTCTATCAGTCTACTCAGGTGTGGCGCTTGGTAATATTTGCGTAAGTCTGGGACTGCCAGTCCTCCGTACATTTTAGGTAATGATAACCGCTTACGTTGGGTCCGTGTTTTTTTTTTTTTTTCTTCACCCAGATGAAGTCCTATAGCACAGCATCAGCTTGTTTGAAGAATTGTTGTAAGGGTATACAAATAGGAAGGGCTTGAAAGAAGTAGAGGAACTTGGGTAGAATGCACATCTTCTCAGTGTTGCATTGGCCAAACCAGGAAAATGGGCCCTTATGCCAAATAGACAAAAGAGAGCAAAATTTGTCTAGGAGTGAGGGGAAATTCAAAGAGAAGATGAGTGTTGGCTGTGAAGGGATCAGGGTGCCTAGATATTTCAGAGCTGTATCAGACCATTTAAAGTGAAAATTGGTTTGCAGAGATTGTCGGAGATATTGAGGTAGCTTTACACCCATCGCCTTCGATTTGGAGAAATTGATCTGAAGGTTAGATAGGGCCCCGTATTGCTCAAATTTCCAAAGAAGGTTAGGGATAGAAATCAGAGGGTTGGTTAATGTGAACATATCATTTGCATAGGCCGAGATCTTGTGCCACGTCCCACCAGCCACCAGTCCCACTATATCTGGGTTCTGCCTAACCGTACAGAGAAAGGGCTCCAACGTGAGGGTGAAAAGAAGGGGTGACCCTGCCGGGTCCCATTGGAGATGGAGAAAGGATCAGAGAGAACTTCATTCACCTTTACCGAGGCAGTAGGGGAAGTATAGACACTAGCGACACATATGGGCTCCCAATCCTGTATGGTGGAGGACCTCGAACATGAATCTCCAATCCACACGGTCAAAGGCCTTGTCGGCGTCCGTACCTAGGAATACGCAAGCAGTGTCCGACTGATCGGTGATGTGAATTAAGTTTAGGGCTTTAATAGTATTGTCCCGCGCCTCTCGGGATGGGATAAAGCCATCCTGATGTATGATGGAGGGCAGATGTCTTTGAAGACGTGAAGCGATTACCTTGGTGAACAGTTTGAGAGCAACGTTTAGGAGGGAAATTGGTCTATAACTAGCACATGATTAGGGGTCTTTCCCTTCCCTTAGGGATCACTGTGATGTGAACTAGTAACTAATCTCAAGGGAAGGAGGCCGAATCTCCTAATGCGTTGAACAATTTGACCAAGTGCTATCCAAGGTGTGGGAGTAAATCTTGTACTATTGTATCATTAGACCGTCAGGACATGGTGCTTTGCCAGATTTAACAGAGCATAATGCGTTTTGCACCTCAGTCAGGGAGATGGGGTCCTCAGGTTCCCCTCTAATCGGCTAAGGCAGTCTCGGTATACCTGAGGCCTTCAAGTACTGTTGTACAGAGGTCCTTGGGCAAGTAGAAGGTCCCAAATTGTACAAAGTAGAGTAAAATTCCCCAAAGATCTTAGCTACATGTGAAGGAATAGTACTGTTGCTGCCGTCCGGTCGTGTTATGTGTGGGACGTAGGTTGCTAGACGTTGTGTTTTTGTAATGAACGGGCTAGAGTCCTACCACATTTATCACCTCATTCGAAAAATACTCGACACGTTTGTAGGGCAGCTTTGGCCTTGAAGCGTAGGAGATCTGGTATTTGGTTGCGTAGAAGGAGCAATTCTGTTTTCAGTACTGGGGTTGGGGCATGTTTATGACGAGATTCTATTACCTGGACCTTAGTAAAAAGGGCAGAAAGCTGCATCTCGTTCCTTCTCGTTTCGATTCTAGCTCCGTGTTTAATAAGGACCCCTCTGATCACAGCCTTATGAGCTTCCCAAATCATTCCCGGGTGACAGTTTGGAATGCAAGTTATGGTTAAGTACAAGTTAATCTCTCGGTTCACGTCTGCCAAGACCACAAGGTCCTGCAGCAAGCTTTCGTTCAAAAGAGGGGCACCGTAGATCCTGAATCCCAGATGGTGAGTATCGGATCGAGATTGGAGCATGGTCTGACCAAGTGATGTTTCCAATGGTCGCTAATGTTATCCGTTGTATGGTCCGCTAATGGTATCCGGCGATGGGTGTAAAGCTACCTCAATATCTCCGACAATCTCTGCAAACCAATTTTCACTTTAAATGGTCTGCCTATCCGAAAATAATCTATTCGCGAGTATAGTTTGAGACGGAGAATAGTATGTATAATCACGTTCCCCTGAATGAAGAAGCCGTCAAATATCATGGAGCTGTGCTCTATAGAGCTTGTGAGATATGTTTACGAACAGTGGGGGTAATGGAGGAGGTACCTGTGGAGGTGTCTTTGTTGGGTATGAGAGGAACATTAAAATCACCTCCCAGAATGAGGTGCCCCTCAGAGAATTCCGGTAGTCGAGCAAACACTCCACTAAGAAAGAGGTCCTCTTGAGCATAAGGGGCATATACCGTGTCAAAAGTCACCAAGATGTCGCCAATCTTACCTTTCAAGAAAAAAACGGTCATTGTCGTCCACCAATATCTCCTATTGTGACCATGGCACGTGTCTAGATATGAGAATTGATACACCTTTGGATTTAGCCATTTTGTTAGTAGCATGGTGGACAAAGGGGAACTGTCAATCTCTCAGGTAAGGAAGTCTGTCCTTTCGAAAGTGGGTCTCCTGTATAAACGCCACATCGGCTCGAAGCCTTTTGAGGTCAGATAGTAGCATTTGGTGCTTCTCCGGGACATTCAGCTCTTTAACATTCAGCGAGGTGATACAAAGGGAGTCCATAGTCCCACCTAATATAGGGCAATCAGAACAATAAAATAAATGATTACACATTGATTGTGACAAACCTTTGCACTTTTATATGTGCATTATTTAAGAGAATGTATCATGATGTAATCAACAGCAGGCGTATTCGTCATGTTCAGTGCCATCACTTGCTTAAAAATCCGTAAGCACACCAATTATAATGCCAAGGTCTGTTACATGTTGGCTCCTGTGCATGATTATGAGTTACACCACCTCACAGGAACCAGCTTGTGGCTGATATCCTAAAACCCCTTCCAAACAGAAGGAGTGGGGCAAAACATGCCAGTTTGGGTTATGTACTATGGCTGTTAGTTGCATTGTAACAAGTTCTTTTAAAATAAACCCTAAAGGTGCTTTCACACCAGTGTAGTACGGTAATGCTCTTGGCACTCCAACACACCTGCATGCAAAGCACTGCAACACATGGTAAGCCACTGCTGTAGGTCTGTTTTTCTATGCATTGCCATCCTTTTCAAATGAATGGACTGCCTTAATGGAAGTGCGTTAACGTGTGCTATAGTGTACATAAACGCACCACACCTGTGTGAATGTGCCCTCATATTTAAAACACACAGTAAATAGTTAATATAGATTCTGTGTGCTCCTAAAACCTTCACCCTTCTTAATACCAGATGTGAAAAACTGCTAGGCACAAACACTATGGACCTACTCCTAAAAGCGTGCAGTTTCCAATGTATGAATTCCAAATAAATTAAAGGATAAGTTCACCTTTCATTACATGTTACACCCATATTCAGGGTGACATGTTACTATAAGACTGGCCCCTGCACCCCCCTGATCCCTGTTGTGACAGCAAGCAGGGAATCTTCTCCTCAAGCTAGCTGTCTCAATTTAAAAAAAAAAAAAACAAATTAAATAATCTGTATTCTGTGAATGGGCAAACTTCAAGTTCCAACAGCTTTTGTGGCTGCCGGCTTGTAGTTTTCAATGAATTACTACAGCACTCCACTACACAATGGTAGTCCATTGAGCCTTCCTGTCAGTAAGTATCTGCTTGCCCGTATGAGATGTACAAGCAAGCAGATATACTGACAGGTCAGGGGGAGACCTGCAAGGCACTAGTGATCTGCTGATCGCTGGTGCAATGCTTTAGAGGTTCCACAAACAAATATAAATGCACATTTCTTTATCGTACATCACGGGACACAGCAGGCTATTTATGACTGTGGCTGTAGGCCACCTATAAGTGAATGGACACTGGCCGACCAATCAGAGAGGAGGTCCTCCCCTATATAACCCCCTCCTACACAGGAAGTACTTTAGTTTTTTTGCCAGTGTCTGTAAGGTGGATGGTCACTGAAAGTGTTGCTGTGCTCTTTGAGCATACCTAAAAGTCCAGAACGGTTCCATTAGAGAATCGGGGACTTTAATCTGATCAATTTGGAAAGCTGTGAGCCAGATAAATGGTACCCAAGCCTTGCTAGATAAGGAGAAGAATCCTAAAGGTTTTGCCTGCGACGCCAGCCCCTGCGCAGATGGAACCCTGTGGAGTTTTAACCAAGGCACCTCCAGCTGGGGCTAAAGGGGTCCAAGGTATTGGCCCCTTAGTATGGGGACCGGGTCCTTGAAGGTCTGTATGACCATGCCTGCTGTGATGGGTGAAGGTTGGTGACTGGTAAGATGTTTCCATTTTTCCTCTCTGTAAAGGAAAACCAACAAAGCTCTAAATTGGGGGGGTGGAGTCTTCGTCAGTTTTTGACCCACATAATTCACCAAATAAGAGTTGAAAACCTGGCTGTGACTCCTAAACTCCACCTACTACACTAAACAATCGTGTTTGTCAACAGACCAGAGTTCATAAGCTAGTGTATAAAAAAATACCACTACTTTATTAACAACAAGCTGAGCAATACAAAAGGAATAGTAAAAATCTTGGCCAGGAGTGGGTAAAAAAAAATATCACCTGCACCTGGAATAAAGGATTACCCTTATTGTAAAATCACAGAACTGTGAGTGCAAGCATATTCAAAGATACATTTAATTATTACAAACATAATTCCAATATAGCACGCTAAAGCATGACTTGTTTGTGCAGGTGGAGTGCTGTTCAAATCATTACACCAATGCTCTGTATCTCACATACTGTAAATATCCTTGCATCCTCAGCACTCCGCTCCATAGGCAGTAGATGGAAAGAATGGTCTATAATATATCGACTTGAATTATGCATGTTTCCAGTTGTATTTTTGTTGGAGGAATAGATTCCCAAGAGACAGTTTGTCCTCAAATGTGAATAACTTCCAGTATACTTGCCAGAACACTGTCACTAAAACAGGACTAGCCCTGCATCCAGAAAACAACCCATATTCACTGTGTGTTACACAGAATATGAGCAATGTAAAGTCCCCACACAGTTGCACAATAGCAGTATTGGGCAGCAAGGGGCATGTCTCCAAAATCTCAAAGACCATCCACTATGCTACTAAATGTCCACATATACAGGTGAAACTCAAAAAATTTAGAATATCGTGCAAAAGTTAATTTATTTCAGTAATGCAACTTAAAAGGTGAAACTAATATATGAGACTCATTACATACAAAGCAAGATAGTTCCAGCCGTGATTTGTCATAATTGTGATGATTATGGCTTACAGCTCATGAAAACCACAAATCCACAATCTCAGAAAATGAGAATATTGTGAAAAGGTGCAATATTCTAGGCTCAAAGTGTCCCACTCTAATCAGCTAATTAAGCCATAACACCTGCAAAGGGTTCCTGAGCCTTTAAATGGTCTCTGTCTGGTTCAGTAGGAATCACAATCATGGGAAAGACTGCTGACCTGACAGTTGTGCAGAAAACCATCACTGACACCCTCCATAAGGAGGAAAGCCTCAAAAGGTAATTGCAAAAGAAGTTGGATGTTCCCAAAGTGCTGTATCAAAGCACATTAATAGAAAGTTATGTGAAAGGGAAAAGTGTAGAAGAAAAAGGTGCACAAGCAGCATGGATGACCGCAGCCTGGAGGGGATTGTCAGGAAAAGGCCATTCAAAAGTGTTGGGGACTTTCACAAGGAGTAGACTGAGGCTGGAGTCAGTGCATCAAGAGCCACCACACACAGACGGATCCTGGACATGGGCTTCAAATGTCGTATTCATCTTGTCAAGCCGCTCCTGAACAAACATCAGAAGCATCTTACCTGGGCTAAAGAAAAACAGACCTGGTCTGTTGCTCAGTGGTCCAAAGTCCTCTTTTCTGATGAGAGCAACTTTTGCATCTCATTTTGAAACCAAGGACCCAAAGTATGGTGGAAGAATGAAGAGGCACACACTGCAAGATGCTTGAAGTCCAGTGTGAAGTTTCCACAGTCTGTGTTGATTTGGGGAGCCATGTCATTGCTGGTGTTGGTCCACTGTGCTTCATTAAGTCCAGGGTCAACGCAGCCGTCTACCAGAAGATTTTGGAGCACTTCATGCTTCCTTCCGCAGACGAGCTTTATGGGGTTGCTGACTTCATTTTCCGGCAGGACTTGGCACCTGCCCACACTGCCAAAAGCACCAAAACCTGGTTCAATGACTGTGGGATTACTGTGCTTGATTGGCCAGCAAACTCGCCTGACCTGAACCCCATAGAGAATCTATGGGGCATTGCCAAGAGAAAGATGAGACACATGAGACCAAACAGTGCAGAAGAGCTGAAGGTTGCTATTGAAGCATCCTGGTCTTCCATAACACCTCAGCAGTACCACAGGATGATAGCTTCCATGCCACGCCGCATTGAGGCAGTAATTGTTGCAAAAGGGGCCCAAACCAAGTACTGAGTACATATGCATGCTTTTACTTTTCAGAAGTCTGATATTGTTCTATGTACAATCTTTGTTTTATTGATTGCATGTAATATTCTAATTTTCTGAGATTGTGGATTTGGGGTTTTCATGAGCTGTAAGCCATAATCATCACAATTATGACAAATGACGGCTTGAACTATCTTGCTTTGCATGTAATGAGTCTATCTCATATATTAGTTTCACCTTTTAAGTTGCATTACTGAAATAAATGAACTTTTGCACGATATTCTAATTTTTCGAGTTTCACCTGTAAATACTGCACCATAAGCCATGGTAATGAGAGTAGATTTAAAACATTACTTATCAGTCCATAGTGTCCTCCTTTATCATAACAGGGGCCCACCAGGTGACTCCAATAGCCTGACCAATTTCACTGGTGCAATGCCAGCTGTGTCAGAGACATTACTTACAAAGCACTTCGGACTAAAATAAATGGGAAATGGAGAGGACACCATCCTGCCCCAAACACTGGATGGGGAACACCAAAGTGACATCATCGCACAGGCAGCGTCATCAGGCACACAAGTCGGTGCTCAAAAGCAGCTGGTATTGTACCGAATAAACTTTCCTTGTTTACATGGTTACTGGTGTTACAGTAGAACTTGTGTAATTAAAAAAAAGTAGACACACCCTTGCCACTTGTGAAAAATTGTGTAAAATGCAGATTCAAGGTAGTGTATATTACACACACACACGTACACGCGTAATCCATGAAAAGGCGCACTCGATGGGACTTGGCTTGAGAAAGGCAGGCTAAGCCCTGCTGAAACTTCATTGAAAAAGTAAACACTCTGTGTCCTCTCTTGTGTTGAGTGCACATTTTGTGGATTATTTTTAAATATATGTATGTGTGTGTATATGTATATATAATATCCTTTCTATGAATCATTTTCCACTTTACTTAAATTACAGATGGTTGCCAAAGGTTTGATACTTGTTCAGACAAAAGAAGTTGCAATGAAACCAGAAGATGCAAGAAGAGTCTTCAGAGACCAAGCAACAGAATTCATACCATTATTGGAGAAAGGTAAAACATTTGATCCAGTTTTATTTTAACGTTTATGTAAACCCTCGCTTTGCAAAACAGCACATTCAGTTTAAAATAGAAATGAAAGGTAAAACATTTGTATATACAAATAAAAAACATTGTTAATAACTTTTTTTCACCCATTTTCTAAATGATCACAGTCCCTTTGTTCTCTGTTACATAAAGAGCTGGAGAGGAGAAACAGCTGAACACTGATCTTCCTACTTAGTGGCTGTGCGGGGGGTTTGGCGTGGCAGCAGACGTTTGATAATTGTAATTGCTCCCAGCACAGCTAGAGAACTGACCACAGTTTATTCTTCTGCCTAGTGTGGTCAGTTTTTAATAGAAGAGTAGAGGGACTGGCAGGAACACCAGGGATTTTACACAAAGAAGCCGTACAAAGAGAACAGGATACAGTGGGGCAAAAAAGTATTTAGTCAGCCACCGATTGTGCAAGTTCTCCCACTTACAAAGATGAGATAGGCCTGTAATTGGCATTTCATAGGTAGACCTCAACTATGAGAGACAAAATGAGAAAAAAAATCTAGACAATCACATTGGCTGATTTGGAAAGAATTTATTTGAAAATTATGGTGGAAAATAAGTATTTGGTCAATATCAAAAGTTCATCTCAATACTTTGTTATATATCCTTTGTTGACAATGACAGAGGTCAAACGTTTCCTGTAAGTCTTCACAAGGTTGGCACACACTGTTGCTGGTATGTTGGCCCATTCCCCCATGCAGATCTCCTCTAGAGCAGTGATGTTTTGGGGGCTGTCGCTGGGCAACACGGACTTTCAACCCACTCCAAAGGTTTTCTCTGGGGTTGAGATCTGGAGACTGGCTAGGCCACTCCAGGACCTTGAAATGCTTCTTACGAAGCCACTCCTTCGTTGCCCAGGCGGTATGTTTGGGATCATTGTCATGTTGGAAGACCCAGCCACGTTTCATCTTCAATGCCCTTGCTGATGGAAGGAGGTTTGCACTCAAAATCTCACGATACATGGCCCCATTCATTCTGTCCTGTTCCTAGATCAGTCGTCCTGGTCCCTTTGCGGAGAAACAGCCCCAAAGCATGATGTTGCCACCCCCATGCTTCACAGTGGGTATGGTGTTCTTTGGATGCAACTCAGCATTCTCTCTTCTCCGAACACGACGAGTTGTGTTTCTATCAAACAGTTCTATTTTGGTTTCATCTGACCATATGACATTCTCCCAATCCTCTTCTGGATCATCCAAATGCTCTCTAGCAAACTTCAGACTGGCCCGGACATGTACTGGCTTAAGCAGGGGGACACGTCTGGCACTGCAGGATCTGAGTCCCTGGCGGCGTAGTGTGTTACTGATGGTAGCCTTTGTTACGTTGGTCCCAGCTCTCTGCAGGTCATTCACTAGGTCCCCCCGTGTGATCCTGGGATTTTTGCTCACCGGTCTTGTGATCATTTTGACCCCACGGGGTGAGGTCTTGCGTGGAGCCCCAGATCGAGGGAGATTATCAGTGGTCTTGTATGTCTTCCATTTTCTAATTATTGCTCCCACAGTTGATTTGTTCACACCAAGCTGCTTGCCTATTGCAGATTCAGTCTTCCCAGCCTGGTGCAGGTCTACAATTTTGTTTCTGGTGTCCTTCGACAGCTCTTTGGTCTTCACCCTAGTGGAGTTTGGAGTGTGACTGTTTGAACTTGTTATCAGTATAAAAGACACCTGTCCACAACCTCAAACAGGTGTCATTGATACAGGTAATGAGTGCAGGACAGAGGAGCCTCTTAAAGAAGAAGGTACAGGTCTGTGAGAGCCAGAAATCTTGCTTGTTTGTAGGTGACCAAATACTTATTTTCTACCATAATTTGCAAATAAATTCTTTCCAAATCAGCCAATGTGATTGTCTGGATTTTTTTTCTCATTTTGTCTCTCATAGTTGAGGTCTACCTATGATGCCAATTACAGGCCTCTCTCATCTTTTTAAGTGGGAGAACTTGCACAATTGGAGGCTGACTAAAATACTTTTTTGCCCTACTGTACTTTTTTGTACAAGTACATGGTACAGCTAGATACATATCAGAAATATGAAATGTTGGGTTTACATATTCTTTAACTGTAGAGTCTGGTGTGAAACCATTATTGCGGAATTATTGCTAGTCAAAAAACCACTTTGTTCCTTTTATTCTGATAAAGTGGTTTCGCCCTCCTTGCTATGCTTTCTGGCAAAGGTGTAGGAATAGCACACATGGCTGGACAGCGTTACAAATCCTTTGGAGATAAGGTAGTTACCATGTATTTCAACTGTTTATTTAGCTCTTTGTTTTCCTAGAGTTCAGCTTTAAGTACGTTTTTATTGCCTGGGATCTCTCCAACCCTTCCCTGAGTAAAGTGAGGTGTACAAGGTGTATCTGCTATTTTAAGAAAACATTCAGCTACCCAGTAACCATATATTGCTTTGTTCATGTTGTGATTAAACCTTATATATACCTCTGGTAACTTTGTTTAATTTATACACTGAATCAAAGGCCCTACAAGGACGTAGATCGTGCAAACACTTGTGTCAAGCTATGCTTCACGTTTAAAAAGCCTGTAAAAGGATGCTGTACTAAATTTGTCTGACCTACAATTGCCCTCTTTATGTAAAATGTAAGCAAGATAGACTGAATGATCAAAAGCAAGTCAACACTGCAAAAACAACAATTTCAGTGGGGGTTATAATTATGGACACAACTTGTACCTCATGCAACCAAAAGTATTGGGACACCTTAAAGACTACCACTCTGAAGAACAGAGGTTCATACAGGTGCTTTCCCTAAGCACCAAATCATTGGATTTCAGGGGACTGCTTCCAGTCACCTCTATGCAGTATGCCCACAAGTGTATAAAATCTTGGGCATGGATCAACGCTATGTTTGGAGGAGGAAGCAGACTTGCATGGTGGAGGGTCAATCATGCTTTGGGGCTGTTTTGCTTCTGCAGGTACAGGGAAGCTTCAGCGTGTGCAAGGATGAAGAATATTGTGATGCTCTCAGCTTGGGAGCTCAGTGAATTCAAGCGAGCATGGTATCGTGATAGGTTGACTTAAATCCCTGTGCAATAAGTCAATCCGTGCAATTTGCCCCTTGCTATCAAATATTCCTTGGTCAACTGTTAGTGGTATTATAACAAATTGGAAGCAACTTGGGGGTTGAACAACAGCAACTGAGCACAGCCATTTGTGGTTATTTCATTGAAGTGGTATTTGGCCAAGTAAAATGTACGAGTGGGGTCAAAAGCACATGCTGCCAAAAGCGCACAGTGCGCAGACATCTCCAACTGTCTGCAGATTCAATCACTAAAGACCCCTCCAAAACTCATGTGGCCTTCAGATTAGCACAACCACAGTGTGTTGAGAGCTTCATGGAATGGGTTTCCATGGGCGAGTAGCTGCATCCAAGCCTTACATCACCATGAAGTGGTAGGCCAAGTAAAATGGCGAGTGGGGTCAGCACATGCTGAAGCGCACAGTGCGCAGACATCTCCAACTGTCTGCAGATTCAATCAGACCTCCAAAACTCATGTGGCCTTCAGATTAGCACAACCACAGTGTGTTGAGAGCTTCATGGAAGTTGTTTAGTAGCTGCATCCAAGCCTTAATGACCAAGTGCAATGGAAGGAAAGTGTCAGATGCAGTGGTGTAAAGCATGCCACCATTGGACTCTAGAGCAGTGGAGACATGTTCTTTGGAGTGAGGAATCATGCTTCTCTGACAATTCGGTGGACGTGTCTGGGTTTGGAGGTTGCTAGGAGAACGGTGCTTGCCTGACTGCATTGTGCCAAGTGTAAAGTTTGGTGGAGGGGGTTAAGGCGTCAGAATACCAAGACATTTTGGACAATTTCATGCTCCGAACTTTGTGGGAACAGTTTGGGGATGCCCCCTTGCTGTTCCAACACGACTTCGCACCAGTGCACAAAGCAAGGTCCATAAACAAGTGGATGACTGAGTTTGAGGTGGAGGAATTTGACTGGCCTGCACCTCAGCCCAATAAAACACCTTTGGGATGAATTGGAGAGGAGACTGCGAGCCAGATATTTATATATATATATATATATATATATATATATATATATATATATATATATATTATATTATACACAGTAATACCTCAAATTTTAATTTGTTCTGCAGGACTTTTCGTATAGTGAGAAATTTGTAAACCGAAACACCGTTTCCCATAGGAATGCATCGAAGCCAATTAATCCGTTTCAGAGGTCATAAAAAAGTAAATGCTACTAAAATACCGCATGAGTTCTTTTATCAAGTCATGCAGTATTTTAGTAGTGACAACCATGGGTTAATGTTTCAGCTGTCAGCGGGGTTCTCCACTGACATTTGAATGTAAAAGAATTGCTGGCAATTAAAAAAAATAATTTAAAAAATGGCGACATCACGCATGTGACCCTCACCCCATGTGACATCAATGATGTCCCTGGGTGGCCCCGCCCCTTAAATATTTAAGAACTGTCAAGCCAGCTCAGAGGCAGAAGGCTGGCAGCCATTGTCGGGAACCTTTTTTTTTTCTTTTTTGGGTCGGCGGCCACCATCGTGATTGACGTTGGATCTACTGTGGGGGACATTCATTTTAGTTTTTTGCTTTTAATAAAGGACTTGTCAAAGACTGTGTCCTGTCTTTTTTCACACTACATATTTTGTAATTTGTGAATGAGTAGCGGTGCCATGTACCCCTTACTCATTCACATGGGGGCCCCCTTGTTAAAGGGGGCTTCCAGATTCCGATAAGCTCCCTGCCTGCAGACCCCCACAACCACCGGCCAGGGTTGTGGGGAAGAGGCCCTTGTCCCCATCAATATGGGGGCAAGGTGATTTGTGGGGGGGAGCCGCCCTGCCCCAAAGCACCCCCCATGTTGAGGGCATGTGGCCTGGTATGGTTCAGGAGGGGGTGCTCGCTTGTCTCCGCCCCCCTTCCTGACCTGCCGGGCTGCATGCTCTGATAAGGGTCTGGTATAGATTTTGAG